ACTTTTCATATCATTACTGTAAATGGTCAGTGAATTTGTAGTGAAAAGTGAACAGCCATACAGGATATGAAAAGTTTTGGAGTTATCAGATAATTTAAAAAAAAAAGTGAAAGTTTGCCTTTGCTGTGAAAGTATGCATGAAACTTAATGATCCACTTCCATGCACTGAAGGAGTAGTTTCAAATAAGATGTGTTTAGATGTGTTTTTGATACTGTTATTTTAAAGAAAGTTTTCTTCACAAGACTTTATTTGACTAAGTTTGTCTTTGTTCTGAGTTACTAACATACCTTTTGTTTACACTCGATACAAGCAATATTAAAATATGAGAACTGACATACAAAATGTTCGATAAAAATAACTTAAAACTAAGCTAAATCCCACTGAAATGTCGTATGGAAAATAATTTGAGGGCTGCATAAATAATAAACCTGAGTAATGCTTTGTGAGGGAATGAAAGGATCAGGCAATGCTTTTATAACACTGAATATTTATTTGAAACACAGTCAATTCAAAGATTTCATCATTACTATGATCTGTTAGGATATTGTGACTCTGTACTTCTTTGCACAAAGATAAGCTCTGGGCTGCTAACCACAGTGGTTTCTTCTCTTGTGACTTTCTTGACAGAACCAGCAATTTCTCTCCCTGTGGACAAAACATGGCAAGTGTCAGTTTCTATCAGACTTGCACTAAGTAGATCATAAAATGATGGGAAATGTACTATTTCTTTTTCAGATGAACCTTTTCAGCGGAGACCTTTTATGGTATGGCCACTGTTTAGCTTCGTTAATCATCTTACTCAAAAACAAGGGGGATCAAACTCCAGGAAACACTGTACTGATGGTGTCAGTGTACAACTTACTTTTTCTGAAGCACCTGGGTTCACAGTTATTTCCAAGAGTAGGTTGGCAAATAGCTACATCACAGTGGATGTACAGCTGGTCAAAAACAGAAAAAAAGCACATCTTTGAAAATATGTTACAACAAAAAGTAAGCATGAAATGAAGATAAAGATATTTTTCGCTTAGTATTGGGATGCTATACCTTTTCCTGTAAAGGAGGCATAATGTTTGGCTTTGTAGCTGCTGACTGGGTTGAACTACCATCACCTACAAAATGGAACATTTTGAAAACAAAGCGGTTGTGGTGGCTTGGAAACTTGAATCCAAATGAGGGTCTGGCAAGCAGGGTTGTTAGGTAGCGGTCATCACAATAGGGGCAGCTATGTTAAAAGCAAAGTTTGTACAGTAAACATCAAAAATATAATACAAATGCCTCCAAATTAAGAGCACCACCTACTCTTACCCATCAATCAGGAAGTCCCACTGAGGAAGACTATGAAGATAGGAATCAGAGGTTGCCCGACATCTTCCAAGAGTTAAGACAAGGTTGGGATCGGTCCTCTCCATCAGGTAGACCTCAACGTAAACAGGATCCCTCAAAACCTTTCTGACAGGGTATTCGGCAGCGGTGTAAAAAGAGGTGTAGACTTCCTCTTCTGTCCAAAAAATGAGAGTAGTTGTAGTTGTTGACATTCCCTGCTAAAAGAGACTATCTTTGCAGATTTAGCTCTCCAAGACTAACCTTCAACACAACCCTTGGCAACACATTGTCCATTGGCCAGCTTGAGTTCCACACGCACAGGTCCAGCAGCTGCAACTGAGTTTGGCGGAGGAACCGGACCAACATCAATAACCAAAGCCTCAACTGTGGTGCCAACATATCTGCACTGGAACAACAACCTGGCACAAGAAATACAGTTTACGTTAGTCACTCATGAAGTAATTTAGCTATAAACTTTGAATAACAATTTCTTTCTCACTGAACGTTTTCGATCTTCTAGTTTCTGCCCATGTGTGGTAACATTTTTGCCTATGCTGTATCTACTTTCTGATAAAGATATTAAAATATTTACTCATTGTAGGTGTCCCTGGTAATGGATCCATGGGGTCCAGTAATCACTTGGTATACGGAATACATCCTGTTCTCGTAAATTAGAACACCAGGTTCCTCCTACAGTATAATGACAGGATTTCAGTCTTTAACATTGCCTGTAAAAACTTAAACTTAAAACTTAAATTGTTAACTGAGATTCTAGTGCATCAGCCCAGACAGTTTCTCTAGGAAAGTTAGTCAGTGCATCGGCCCCCTCGCCAATAACTTCAAATCATCTGCTAAAAACCTTGGTATTACTTGTGATCAGCACCTGAATTTTGAAACTCAAATCTCAAAGGTTACCCAATATTGTTTCCTTCATCTCAGAAATGTTGTGAAAATCAAACCTTTAATGTCAGTGAATCCTCTTGAACTTTTAGTACACACTTTAAGTTTCTGTCAGTCCTCAGATCGTCTCCAATTAGTTCCGAATGCAGCAGCAAGGTGGCTAATGAAAATTACAGTGGTCACATATTACACCTGTCCTTGCATCCCTTCACTGGCTTTCAGTGAAATTCAGAATCCACTTTAAAATTCTGTTATTGACATATAAGGCTCTACATGTACAGGCCCCTGGTTATTTAGCTGAGTTTCTAACACCTCAATGCAGCTGGCCTCTCCGATTGTCTGACCAGGGTCTTCTAACTGTCCCTAGCTCTGATTTTAAAACCAGAGGTGTTGTAGCACCCAAACTGTGGAACAGCTTTGCTCAGTCAATGAGGTTGGCTCACTCTTTTATTTGTTTTAGGCAACTACTGAAAATAAAATAACAGTTTGCGGCTTTTATGTGAACTGTGCAGTAAACTCTGTGTTTTGAAAAGTGCTATATAAATAAGTTTTTCATGCTTACTATTAGTAGTAGTAGGAGGAGGAGTATTAAAAGTATCATTATTATTAATTCAGTTACAACACTTACTTTTACAACTGTACCACAGGCAGTGACAGGGAACTCATAGATGGCAAAAGCTGAAGTGCTGCCAACTGGATTGCAGCTGTGACCATTCTCATAGAAAGAAATTGTCTCCAAGTCAGTGTTGGGCAGAGTTGCATCTCTGGCCACCACCACGATGAACAGGCCTTCCTTGGTGCACTGAAGTGTCACTGAGGCAACAACAATAATAATAAAGTACAACAAAAAGAAAGACAAATGCAAATGCTTTTACCCTTTCACCATAATGTATCAGTGGTGTAGTTTATCTATAAAGCAGAACTTCTTACCAGATTTGCCATATTAGCACATGAGTCCATCAAAACAGCAGTTTATAGCGTCACATTCAGAAGCAGAGATTTCATTAGTGCCACACGGTATCCTGTAGTTTTCCGCAACTTCACAAGTGTGAAATGACTCTAAAGGCTTTAGAGGGTTCAGAGGTCTTTTGGGCTGCTGAGGCTGCTGAGGGTATTCAGGGTTATTGATTTGCTTCTGCCCCTGTGGAGATGGTGGGTATCTAGGATTCTGAGGGTTCTGAGACCCTTGCCCATAATTTTGGGCATTCGATCTATAGCCCAGCAGGGCAAATAATAAAAGACGACAACAAGTCAGCTTTAGTACCATTACGTCACATAAAAGAACAGCAAATTCTGTGAAATGTATCCTGCAAATATGTTGACTTTTATAAGGTATGGTTAATGATGGCCTGTTAGGATCTCACATCTGAACAGTTTCATAACAAGAACCTTCACAGGGTCTGTCTGACCAACACTGTGCCTTCACAGTGTAAACAAAAACTTTTATTTATCTTTCATTTTGACATCGTTGCAAATCGTTGCAACAGGATGAAGTGTTCTTTGTCTGTAATAAAAAGAAGAAGAAGGTATAATTAGACGTAAGCAGGTCATCTGTGGACAGAAGGCAAGAGCTTTCAGTATTATGTATTTTGGCTGCATGAGCTATTCAGTCATTTTATTTGTGACAGGTTAAAATGTTAGTTTTAAAAATCCTGAGAGTCATTTTGTAAATCTATACTGTGCATGCATCTCAAACAAAATATACAGTTTCCTCCTCTTCGGTAACCTCTTCGGAGTCAAAGTCTTGTTTAGGATGAATTTTTATTTATTTAAGTCACTCCTCATAAAAATAAACAGTTTATTTTACGTGATAACCCAATAAAATCATGAATTTGTAATAATGTAATAGCATCTAGAGAGGTAATTCTGAGTAAATTAAAAAGTGATATAAACAAATTAAACCAGAGAAGAAGTATTGTGCAAATTGTACAGCTACTATTGTTTATCTGATGCACAAAAAAAACTTGTGTCTCCACAATTAAACTTTTTGTCACTGTTTTCTATATACCTGCACCCATTACTCACATGAAAACAGACTTTTTTTTTTAAATGTTCTTTTATATAATTTTTTCTTCTCTTGCAAAACTGTGTACTGCAAAGCTCTGAGTGAATGTCTTTATAGTTTTGGCCAAAGTGATAGCAAAAGTCTATGAATCTCTCTGGTGGGTGTGTCACTCCTATCACTATGGCTGTTTAGCAGCTGGTGGTGGACTTCAGAAGGGGTCAGCACAGAGACTACAAGCCCATTATCATCAATGGAGCTCCAGTGGAGAGGGTGCAGTCCTTCAAGTATCTTGGTGTCCACATCTCCTCAGACCTGACATGGGCTGCCCACATTCAGGTCCAGACCAAAAAGGCTAGGCAGCGCCTGTATCACCTACGACAACTGAGGAAGTTCAGGGTCTCTCCAAAGATCCTCAGGATTTTCTATACAGGCGCTGTGGAGAGCATCCTCACACAGAACATGACATCGTGGTTTGGGAACAGCTGTGTGAAGGACCAAAAAGCTCTCCAGAGAGTGATCCGTACAGCAGAACGCTGCTGCAGGATTGCTCTCCCCCCGCTTCAGGACACCTACACCAGGAGATGCCGGACTAGAGCAGCGCAGATACTGAAGGACCCGTCCCATCCTGGCAACAAACTGTTCCAACTTCTGCAATCTGGTAGAAGGTTCCGCATCTTCCGGGCAAGGACAGAGAGACTCAAGAGGAGCTTCTATCCCCAAGCCATCCGTGCCCTAAACACACACACCCGCCCTCTCACATCATCTATAATTGACTGAGACAGGACTCTCTTCCAGACACTAAACCAAGGCACAATGTACATTTCAATTCCTTTAATTTTAAATATGTTTATATTGTCTATCCTGTAAAATGTGTTCCTTCCTCTACCCCCCCCCCCCCCCCCACAATTTTTGCACATGTCGAGGAGCGTGTCAGGCTACATTTCACTGTGTGTTATACTTGTATAACTATGCATGTGACAAATAAAGAACCTTGAACCTTGAACCTTGAACCAGATCTCAGTACTGACTTGAAAGTGCATGGACTGCATGGCAAAAATCCTTCTTCAATTTTTTTTCTCCAATGTCCCTTACTGGGATCCATACTTTCACATGTTCTTTAAAGGAAACTGGATTTAAATACAATAACAACAACAACTCCCACCCACCTGCCCACTGTTATTAAAAAATATATAAAGGCCTTTTGATTTTAGACTTCCCTTGTGTTAGAATGGCTCAATAACATTTTCTTTCTCATATCTCATATATCTTCTTTTATTTTGTGGTTGGTGGTTAATCTGTTATGAATTAGAGCCATATTGATCTGCAGACCTTTACATAAGGTGCTTTGGCAAAATATTGATTTTGATCTACTATGTTAAGGGCACCTAAACCAGGGTCAACATAACCTTTTGTGTCCTGTTTTTCTGCTGCATCTTTGTCACCTGTTTGAATATCTTTTCTCACTTGTTTGAAGAAACCATGATTGAAGAAGATTTGCCTGTGTGCTCCACAGTCACATTTTATGACTAAGAAACTGAAGAATCTGAATCCAGATGTATAAAAAAGTTGCTAGTTAGCAAGTGCAGTCATTTCAGTAGCTAAAATTGATGTTCATCAACCCTGAGGCCAGCTGAAGGGGAGGGAATGTAGTGGAAGTAAACAAGTTCACTGTGTTATAAAAGCAGATGGGCATTTCCAGCTCCCTTACAGCACCCAGTGAACTACCGTGGGCACCATGCTACTGAAGTGTGCCACTGTTTGCCTTGTGGCACTGGCCTTGCTTGGACTCTGTGATGCTCAGGGTGGTTTTGTGCCTGGGGTGTGGGCTCCAGACCACCACCAACAAAAACAAACATTTGAAAAACCACTCACATGGAAATACCCTGAAGATCCTAAGCCCAAGCCTAAGCCTGATGTGCCGTTCCAGCTGAGATATCCTGTTTCTGCTGCATCTGTTGCTGTTGAATGCAGGGAGGACATTGTTCGTGTGGAAGTCAAAAAGGATTTCTTTGGAGTTGGCCAGGTGATAAATTCGGCTGACCTTACCCTGGGTTCATGCGCTGTTGTCGGAGAGGATACGCCAGCTCAAGTGCTGATTTATCAAGCTCAGCTGCAGAATTGTGGGAGCACATTAAAAGTATGAAGAATAAATATTACATTATTTTGAAATTTAATTCAAGAGCTGGAAAACAGGTTTATGTATAATTTGACTTGTTTTGTATATATATGTTTGCTAGATGACTGGAGATTCCTTCATCTACACCTTCACACTGAACTACAACCCCCAGCCTGTGGGTGATTCTCCTGTGATTAGGACCGACAAAGCAGCTGTAGTTGTTGAATGTCACTACCAAAGGTACGTAAACATTTGGGAAGATTTGTTAAGATAAAGACATCAAAACAATAGAATTATATTAGTATTTAATGTGCTCTATAGTACGACCTAAATATTTTTAGTAATCTAGAATTTACCAAATGTAATCTGGATATTTCAGTGATATATTATTCTTGCTTTAGTTTTTTGCATTCTCGTAAAACATGTCCTGTCACTTAGAAAGCACAATGTAAGCAGTCTCGCTCTTGAACCCCTCTGGGTCCCATTATCTGTGGCTAAGATGGCACAAGAGTTTCTGTACTTCACCCTGACACTCATGACTGGTGCGTTTAAGATCAGTTTCTCAGTGTGTTTTATATTGTATGCGACCTTGATTCAAAATACATACTTGTTTGAATTATAGAATTGTCATGTCTTGTTTCACAGGTGACTGGAAAAATGAGAGGCCAAGCAACCAGTATTTCCTGGGTGACGAGATTAATTTTGAGGTCTCTGTCATGCAGTACCACCATGTGCAGCTCCGTGTTTATGTGGACAAATGTGTAGCTACCCTTTCAGCTGATGCATCTTCTAGCCCCAGATATGCATTCATAGAGCAAGGGTAATGTAGTTTGATGAGATTGTTGAAGTTGTTTTGTATATTAAGACCTGATTATCACAGATGCCTATGCTACACACACACACACACACACAAAGACAGACACACACACACACACACACACACACACACACACACACACACACACGTAGAAAAATATTTAGTATACACATCCAGAAATGCATATACTATTATATATTGTACATATATTTATTAGTTTCAGATGTAGCCATTCTTGTATTTTGCTTGTTTACATTATTGTATTTTGCACAACTCTGTTGCTTGTGAAGCTCGCACACAAGAATTTCACATCACATGTGCTGTACCAATGTACCTGCACATGTGATGTGACAATAAAAGTGATTTCATTTGATTTGATTTGATTACTGGTTACTATGGTCATTTCACATTGTTTTCTTGTGTGCAGGTGTATGATTGATGGTAGGCTCACTGGATCTGTTTCGAGGTTCCTGGATCGCACTGCAGAGAACAAGCTTCAGTTCCAGCTTGAATCCTTCAAGTTCCAGAATGCTAACAGTGGAAAAGTATGCAATTCCAAATTTGAGTTACTAAGTGCATTGTGTTATATTTTCAACAACATTACTAATGTAGAACTATTACATAGAATAATAACATAAATTCTCTCCTGTTCTTAGCTGTACATTACCTGCAACTTGAGAGCAACATCTGTTGCCCAAGTCATTGACAGTAACCACAGAGCTTGTTCCTACATCCGTGGGTGAGTCTACCTTTGTACACATGTATCAATGATCATTAGACCAGAACTGATGTGGCGATACTGCTTACATTTCCATTTCTCCCAAGGTGGAAAGAAGCTGCTGGATATGATGGTGCTTGTGGCTCCTGTGAGTCTTTAACAGGTGGGCAAACTAGTATTGGAATTATTAGTGGCACTACTGGAGGTGGACTTGGTAATACAGGCACGGGAAATACAGGAACAGGGACTACAGGCACTGGAACTGGAAATATTGGTGGCGGAACCCCGGGTTCTACAAGCCCAATTAAACAGGTCCCTTGGTTTAGGGGGACACGGGATGTGTCTCAGCAGGAAGGTATGTGTTTTAAAAAAATATAAGTATTGCAACATTTTAGTAGAGGGAAAGTTTCATTTCAGTTGGTCCTACAAAAAGATAATTGTTTTATGCTTTCTATTTTTTAAGTAAAAAAAAAACCCCCACAATGATGCATACTGCAACAATTCTTCTTTCTTTTCTCAGTTTTGGAATGGGAAGGAGAAGTCACCTTGGGTCCCATCTCCATTGAAGAGAAGAAGATAGCTTAAAACAATTTCCTGCTATAAACACGGCCATTAAAATGAACTTCATCTGTGGTTCATGCCTGAACATATGTTAATTTCATTCTTCTTATTCATAGCTCACAACAATGTAATAAGACATTGAGGAATGAAAAGGTCCTTCACTGAAACGTAACTCCTTTTACATGCCCCCTCTCTGTAATTACAAATGTTTTATATAGAGCTTGTGTATCCATGAATTGGAACTATTCACATGTAATGGAAATAAAAATGCAACTGTTTGAATTTATTGTGTAATTCATTCAGAACTTTCTTAAGCTTTGCATTGGATCTATTGTAAATTGAAACAAAAAAAAATCTAGAAATTAAGAAACATTGAATAGATATAATAACAAATATAATGAGCTAAAAGAGCAATCAGGGGTTGAGCAAAAATGACTCAATAGCACATGTTAGACAATATAGTCACCTGTCTTGTTGTATTTCTGTCAATATGCATGCTTTTAGGGTAAAACAAACAAACAAAAAGGTAAAACAAATCAATATCAATATCATATCACTCAGAAATCATAAGTGGATGAAGGAAGAAGCCATTCACAATCAGCCCCAGGCCATATCCTCATGGTGCCTCCTGATTGGTGTCCTCAGCCTGTCACAGACAGCCCCCAGAACTCAAACACAACCAGCAAAAACATACAAGTAGCACAGAGTAATAGAAACATGTTTGCTAAATATGAGAAATATACACCTAACAGTGAAAGAAGAAGAAGCCACTTAAAGAGGCCTAACTCTCATCTTCTCAGTCAGCATCTACACCTCAAAGAGCAAAAACACAGCAAATCCGGGCTCTAATCATGGCTCTTATTGTGCTTCCAGGTAATCCCTGTTTTCATTCAGCAGTGAGCTTTTGCTGTCACCGTGTGGTATAAATGCTAAACTTCAGTTTACCGAGAGAGAGTTTCAGCACCACATGCAGTGAACAGCTACGCGGGAGGTCTGATCATAAAGCAGTTTAAGTAGCCAAACACTTCAAAGTGTGCCTATAGGTTTTATGGAAGTTCACTGAAACACAAACCTATGTTCTCTGTGTTTTATTAAACTCATTTTTATTTGGGTCACGATGGAAATCCGGTAAGTTATGGACCCGAAATTAAAATTCATATAATTACATTTAATGTGTTCACCCACACTGCAGAGGCACCAAATGACTATTTCTGGGAGACGTTACAGTATATAGGCCTTGTAAACCTTGCAATTAAAAAGCGTCCTCCAGTCCATTCTAAGGCACGGTTACAAAACGAGGACTTAAAATTGAAGTCCCTGCCTTTTCCCGGGGAATCCTCGGATCTCCCCAAGGCTGGTCCACACAGACGTTGGCACGAAAAGCACGTTTGCTTTGCCTGCAAATTTTACTCACTGTAATTTCATCTTAACAACTTTATGGCCGCTGTTTTATCTGTTTTGCTCCGTGTGACCCTCTAGGCTCTGACTACATCCACTCAGCACAGCCTGCTCATATGGTATCAGCACTGACGTTATACCGTCTCCGCTTTACACCCCCTCCTCCTCCGTCTCTGCCTGTCTCCGCACTGCTGGCCCGTATCTGTTGTGTGTCACGGGCAGCATCACAGCGGCAGACATTTGGAGAGAAAAACACCGACTGCGGATACAAATTGCCCGCTTCATGTTTCGCAAGGACATAACCGGGGAACACAGAGATTTCCGCGTTATTGCGCGCTGCCGCTGAAGCTCTTTTTTTTGTCTTATTTGCCTTGACACCCCTCCTTATCCTGCCTGTGTGGATGGTTGACTGCAGATTTCATGGTGCTGAGCAGGCTTGTCTGATTGAAGGCTTGCGGCCAGGGGGGCATCTGTGGGGCCGCAGATAGAGAAACCTCTGTCCACTGTCCCGTCCCGTGCACTGTAATTGTGAATGGACTGCGCTCCCTCCGTGATTTTCTGCAATCGCTCTGAGTCATTTGTAGAAGAAGATGGCGGACAGGGCTGAGATGTTTTCCCTATCCACCTTCCATTCTCTCTCGCCTCCTGGATGCAGGTAAGAGCTCGTATGTAAAGTGACAGTGAGGGGTCGATGGAGGATGCGCTGGGCTGATATGAAAAGGCGCCGTGCATGTCGGTCTGTGCTGCTTTGATGACTGCAGTAAAAACGCACATCCCCAGCCTAGGTTGTAATAGATACTGTGAATAACCTGCTCGGCCTTCTGCTGCCTCACTGCGCGCATGTAGGTGCTGCAGCTGAACATTGCTGGTTGTTTATGTTTTTGGGAGAGACCACTTGGTGAAGAGGGAATAAAAGACTCGCGTTTTAGTAATTTCTGAAAATTGCAAAGAATGGCAAATTGTAAAACATATTGCATATGACTGATCTCTAGCTGTGGCGACAGTCACCCGCTTTGCGCATTCTCTGTGTGAGGCCCACGCCCTGTTGAGTCCAACCCAGGCAAGGGCACGTTGCTGAACAATGATTTACGGAAGTCCTACTGATATTGATGTTGTGTCAAACGCCTCTAATGTGACCTCTGCGACAATCAGTATGACAAATCAGCCCCGGTTTCTTCTTGTAGAAGCATATTTGTGGGTGGGTTACTCTTGCAGAGGCAACTTATTTCACACGTAGCGTTAAATCAGTGCTCTCTACAAGGGTGTTGTTGTTTAAAATATACAGTTTAGCTTGTTGTAGTGTAATTGGCGGTAAGATGAGAAACACAGAGACATCTTGTAGTAAATTTAATGAACTGTGTGAAGAGAGTGCAGTAAACCTACTTTTGATGCTGGATGTGTATTGGTAACAATGTAACATAACAAATAATAATAATGTTAAGTAAACCAATTGGTACCTTTTCCAAGCTTTAGACAATATATATATATATATATTATATATATATATTATATATATATTTCTTTCTTGCTATAATGCTCAACCGAGGATGTTACATATTCGGATTAATGATGGTGCCTTGTATGTTATACTGTTGTTTGTAAATAAAGTTCCTTAAAAAAATTAATTTAAAAAAATGTGGATTGTCAGGACTGAGAGACCTCTTCCCTCAGGGGAGGAAACAAGATGGCGGAGTGTGCAGCAACTTTACTGCAGGCGTCCGAACTTTTTGGCTTTCTTTTGTCCTGAAACTGTGAATTTATTAAAAGCAATAACCCGTCTTTTGCGCTTTTTGTGCACTTCAACCAGCCACTGAAGAATTAACTATAAACCAGCTTTAAGTTGTAATTTTTCCGGGGTTAATTTTGATACTTGTCCTATGACCACGATGGATCATGACTACAACGTTTCGGTGTTGAGAGAGGCGTGTGACGAGGAGGATATTCAAGATTTGGAGATCACTGACATGACTTCCAAGGACTCCAGAATCAACTGGGCTCACACTCCGACGAAAAGCCCTAACCCGAAGAAAGCAAGAGGGGTGCGAGCGCAGCCGCTGGAGGAGGAGGACACCGCCGCAGCTATCTTGCAAGCAGTCAATGTGTTAAAGCATAAGATGGATGAACAGACGGCGTTGCTGCGTAAGTTTGAAAAGCGCATTGATATGAACACGGCAGAAATAAGAAAAAATAAAGAGTATATATATATATATATAAGCTTCTTATTAAATGTAGACATTCTTAAATCATAAAATATACGATAGAGAAAAAATATTCATTTTGATTTTCTCCCAATTTACACAATTTGTACAGGCTGTCATGGTCCTGGATGTATTTCTTTAGTGCTATCATCAAAGAAGTTTGCAGGAATGAAAGTGTCCGGTTCACAATCCTTTGACTTCTTGATAAGTTGCAATAATGGGGGCGTCAAGGTTGTAGTTTTTCTTAGAGTGGAGACATATTTGCAATTTCAGCTATTGCAAAAAGTGCACAGCTCTAATCTGTATAGTCAATCATTTTGCATCTTTAAATTCCTGTGTTCCTGCAGCATAATTTAACACAAGACTTTGGATTTGTTGATAATAGACCCCACTGGCTCTTACAGCTGATTATTTGAATTCTAACCTCATAGTTCATAAATTCATCAACAGTAAATCCTATATATTGATGTATGTACACTTCCAAAGGCCAAAGTTCTTATACTACTTGGATTATCTTTTTCCTCGAATGGTTACAAATACAAATCTGGGTGTATTTCTACTTTTCATATGATTTTCATATGTTATGATATATAACCTTCAGTGGCTGCTGTAAGGCTTTACTCTGTGTCACCAAACATAGCTGGAATAATAAAGAAAACACTGTTATTTCTAACTGGGTTGCACGACTACAACATACAGCTACTATAAAATACTAGCCCAGAGTAGCAGAGAGAAACTGGATAAACCAAGACTTTATCTGGCGTGTTTATCAGGATAACATAAGCCCTGTGCTCTAATGTGCATGAAGTAAACACATTTCATTTCAACGTGCCTGCTTCTGCCTCCAACATGGCTCATATCCTACAGAGGCAATCACATTAACAAACCAGTCCTGGTAGATTTTTTATCCACAGCATGTAGTCATGTGGGATTTCAACTGCACTGCTGGATCATGTCAAATCAATAGACCAGATCGTTTGCATGACTACCGGTGACCTGTTCAGCTCACTCAGCCAAGCTCTGACCATGGTATTAATGTTTTAAATTCACAGCACTACAGCCAAATCTAACGAATCTTAATTATATTAGAGGAATCATGTGAGGAGTAGTTTATTGCATTACTCCTTTGTGGAGGCTAATTGGTTTGTTTCTGTTGTTTTCAGGTAGTTTTTTTATACATTTGAGAGGGAACAAGTGGTTTGTGTTTATTTTTGGTTGACTCTTCACTTTTTGATTATGAAATATCAGTAAGTAGGGATGTAGAAAGAGTCTTTCTGTAAATGTCTGTGCGTTTGATTGTGTCACAGCTTTTGTGTATGTGTGTGTGTGTGTGTGTGTGTGTGTGTGTGTGTGTGTGTGTTGTCTCTTTCTCTGTGCATCTGTGTGTGACAGATTCATGAGTGAAGCCACCAGTTGTGTGATGGTGTGGTCTGGTAATCTGCCTTACATAACCCTAACACTGTTTCCAGTAGGCAACAAAATCCACGAGAGGCAGCACCTCTCTCCCCGGAGCACCAGAAAATTATTACAGGTTACAATTTCCCCTTTGCGGATGGAAAACGTCCTCAGCTGGAAATCTAAACTTTAAAAGAAGCATATGAATATGGTTCAGTGAGCAATTGATGAGAGATTTTAATGAATTTCTGCTAATAAGAGAAAACATGGTAGCACTTTCTTCCAGGCACA